GGTATAAGGAACCTCCATATACCTTTTGCCTGGATACCTGTACCTTTTGGCCCATTTACTTTATTGTTCTCTCTCTCTGTCTCTCTGACTCTCTCTCTTTCCGTTTATTGTCTGTCTGTCCATCCACCTCCATCTTTGTCTGTCTGTCCATTCATGTCTGTCTTATCTGTCTGTCCATGCATCCATCTAAAGATCCATGCATGTTTTTCCTGAACCATTGGAGACATGTTACCCTTTCACCCCTGACTACATCAGCATGAATTTCCCAAGAACATAAGCTTTCTCTTACGCAATCACAGTACAGATACATTTCCCCCCCACCCCAGTCCAGCATCATCACAGCACATCCTTTAACTGTCAGAGGTGAGGAGACAAATGTTTATAGAAACCTGCTGACGCCAGGCCTTGAACAAAGGCCCTTTGCATACATTGTGGCATTTTGGTCTTCTAAACAGTCCTGTGGAATCAATTTTTATTTACCCTGTTTTATAGACAAGCAAGCTCAGGCTTGGAGAAATTCAGTAACTTGCCCACGGTAGTCACTGGGGAGCAGGGACACAGACCCAGGCCTGTCTGATGTTCCCACTGCCCTGGCACTGGTGCCTGGAGACCACGAGGCACACACTTGGTGTGTCTGTCCTCGGAGGGGCAGCAGGCCGGTTTGTCTTTAGTATGTGATGTCAGCTCTTCTTGCTCACTCAGGGAGCAGAGTCATTTTGGGACGGCAGAGCCCATCCGCAAGGTGCTCACTGCTTGGAGCTTATCTTCAGCCCTGTGAAGGTGAGACCACCACCAGCACAGACGGGCCTGTCGGAACGGTGGCCATGCTGGTGAACATATGCGTGCTGGAACAGCCGATCACACGGAGAGGGAGGGCAGACGTTACATTCGTCGGGGCAGGGGGTGGGAAAGACACAGATTTCCTGTTTATGCCCCATACAGTTGGGGAAAGTTATCATTATCCTGGATCTTAGGGTTTAGCTTGGCAAGGCTTCTGAGAGGAGTGGAATTTTAGGACTGTGAGCCACATAAGCACGGATATTTTACATCTGGAGAGGACTTAAGCTGTATAGACTATCTCCCTCATTCCAGACACCGGGGAACTAAGGCCCAGAAAAGAAAACTAGTTTGTCTTTGTCATGCACCTAATCGGTGGCTGAGCTCGGGCTGGAACCCAGTCCTCTGTCTTCCAGGATTAGGTTCTTTCATTACATCGGCAAGTCCTGCCTTTCTTATAGCCCAAACCCTTTGAAATTATTTACTCCTACCTCAAGCAGTCCCTGTTGTACATTTCAGGTATGGCAAAGTACTCATGTGAGTGAGTAATTAACTAGTTACCCATTTTTCTTAATCAAAAACACAGACACACCGATCAGACTTTCTCATCAGCCCTCAGATCTAATGAGGGTTATCGTATTGATAGAGTAAAGAAACTCAAAGTATGATCTCAACTCAGGTTTTTTTAAATGTCAAAAATAATGATCCTTCCTTGATGTATTATTATCTCCAAAGACCCTTAAGAACTTGGACTTCTTGGAGAACCCAGCTTGGGAATTAGTGTATGGCATCATGCTGTCTGCTCCAAGCACTCAGGGCTGTCTGTGACCCCAGGGAGCAGATTTTATCCTGGGAGTACCACCTGGACTGTGTTCTCCCTTCTTCTCACCCTTCCTCCCGCATCATTTCAGGTCTCCCGTAAGACATCAGGCAAATAATAACCGTATTTATATGAACTGTTTCCAGGAGAGATCAGAGTGATTATACATATAACTCTATACCTTTATGAATCAAATATAACTTTGAACCTAACTGAGTTTAACAAAAAGATATTTCAGATCGATGACAGAAAGGAATGTAGAATGAACTATCCTAAATCAAATATTTGCACAAGAACACGACACGTAACAAATGTTTCTAACTGGATAGGATTTACCACACGCTCTGAAGCCAGACGTGATTTAGATTGGCCAGATTTCATTCCCTGGCTCATTCAGAAATGATAAATGGAAGGAAACTGGTTAAAGTGAGGTGGCTACTCGTGGTCACTAGGGATGGTTGGCTTGGGCCAGTATCTTGGCACACCTGTAATCCACCTGCAGTTCACCAGTTAAGAAACTCCAGATTTATATGATTAGCTGGAAGATTACTAAAAAATCTCATGGTTATTTTAGGTGACAACAACAGTGACAATAAAATCCAACTTCTATTTCTGATTAAAATCTTGGAATGAAATAATGCCATTTGCAGCAATATGGATGGACCTAGAGATTATCATACTAAGTGAAGTCAGGCAGAGAAAGACAAATATTGTATGCTATCACTGATATGTAGAATCTAAAAAATAGTACAACTGAACTTATTTACAAAACAGAAACAGACTCATAGACATAGAAAACAAACTTACGGTTACTGAAGGTGGGGGTGGGGAGGGATAAATTGGAGTATGGGATTAACAGGAAAAAAAAATATCTTGGGGAAGAAAGCACTCAGGAATGTATTTTTAAGATTTAAAGGAAAACCGTAATTGAGAGCCCTTCATTTTCGTGCCTTTCTAACTCGTCTGCAGTGTGACCTCATCTTGTTCTTTGGTGACTGGCACCCGTGAAGGTATTTACTCCTTGGGGGACATTTTCTACACTCAGCAGCAGTTGCTGCCCTCATGCTTGGATAAAAGCCTCTTGAGTTGTTCTTTCGATCTGGAATAGACAGTGAGAGAGGCGCTGGCCCTCGTGCCCAGTCACTAGGCAACCGGACAGGCAGGGTGTGAGGATCGGCTCAGAACCTCCCTGCCTGTGCGCAGCACTGTGGTCCAAGCACGCATGAGCCCGGACCGACCACAGCAAAGTCACATGGGCAGAAACGTGCCTGGCTGAGACAAACGGGGCAGAGCACCCAGCCTCAGCCCTCCTGTTGATAAACTCGGAGGATCGGCCACTTTGCCCTGCCTGAAAGCCCAGCTGGGTCTGCGTCTCCGTGTGGCCCCCACCCTAATGCGAGGCAGAGAGGCTGCCTCTAAGTCCTCCTCCCATTGTCCCTGGAGAAGGGCACAGTACTCCTTAGCCTGGCTCGCGCTCAGTCTCCCAGCTGATGGAGAGCTCTGCTGGCGCTTCAGGGAGGCGTGGAGACGCTCTGGGAGCTGCCTGGCCCATACACTGAAGACTGTTCCCCTTTGGAAAAGTGCTTGACCTCTGGACACTGCAGAGGGGGAGGGCCGAGAGGGACACTTGGGTTTCTCCAATTCAAGGCTGCACCATCCAAGGAAATTCTTATTGACTCTAATTGTCCTCAGTCCAAATGAGACAAATGAGGGCTTTTCGTGGTAGAATTACCCAAGTATTAGCCCTTGTTAGGGATGAGACCTCAGACTTCCCCACTGTATTATTGGACCCACATCAAATGTAATTAGATGTTGAAGTTCACTTTACCCTAGAAAATGGTGATTATGCAAATGTGAGCTTTGCTATTAGTATGGGTTTGGAAAATTGCATCCTTTTCTTCCCCGTTGGTTGGCTTTATGGCTACTAATTCTTGAACCTCCTGGAGACTCCAGACTGATTACGGTTTGCACAGACCAAACAGACACACTTCCTTCCTCTAGGAGCTTTGATTAGGCCCAGGTCTTCATTTCCAAACTGTATTCTTCGAGGTGCCTTTGGGACTGCTGGAGGGAGGGTGGCGGCAAGGTGCTGGGCTGCAAGGTTTGCCTAGAGCCCTTTATTTGTTGAATGTATTGGGCTGGTGGGCAAGCTTTTGTTTGAAGAAAGGCTTTTAAGGCTAGCAAAGCTTTGAAAGCCACTGCCCTAAACCAAAGGTTGTTGCTGTGAATGTCTATGTATATGTATTAGACTCCAACAAAGCTTTCCTATGTTCTTTTTTCTTTATTGGATTTTCAAAAAATTAGAAGTCAAACAATATGAGATATATAAGAAAAAGGTTAAACATCTCTCCCCTTACTCCCTTCCAGTTCTGCTCTTTGTTGTTGTTGTTTTTTCTTTGAAGATAACCAGTATTGACAGGTGGATGTGTATCCTCCCACGCTTTTCTCTGTCTGTGCTGACATCCTTTAAAATGTTTTTATTGTGGGGTGGGTGGGTATAGCTTAGTGGTAGAGTGAACGTTTAGTACTGGGTTTGTTCCCCAGTACTTCCGTCAAATAAAATAATAATAATAGTAAATAAATAAACCTAATTACCTCCCCCCAAAAGCCAAAAAATAGTGTTTTTATTGTGAAAAACTTTAAACATACAGAACAGTAGAGACTAGTATAATTAACTCCTGTGCACCCATCCCCCAATTCCAATAATTATCAAAATTTTACAGCACTTGCTTCATCTGTCTTTTTCCCATTCATTTTTGGGGTTTTGTTTTACAAAAATGGCATCATACTACACCATTGGCAACCTTTTTTTTTTTTAACTTAAACTACCTTAAAAATTATTCCTGATCAGCTAATTTACCACCTCCTTTTAATGGCTATGTAGTTTTCCATCGTTTACTCAATCACTATCCTATTCTTGGACATTTGAGGCTGTTTCCAAAAAATTTTGCCACCTGGTAAGTTACTGCAATAAATGTCCTTGCACAGAAGTGTTTACATATTGCTGTATTTATTTCTGTATGCTAGATTTCCAAAAGTGGGATGGTGGGATCATGGGCTATATATGTTTTAAGTTTTAGTCAGTGTTGCTAAAGTATGTTCTCCAAATATTGTAGATACACAACCTCCCACCAGCAGCGTATGGAAAGGCCCGTTTCCTCGTCTCTTCTACAGCCCTGGACGTGATTGCTCATTAAAAGTGTTATGAATCTTTTTTTGTAAAGGGGTGGCATAAAATCGGTGTTTTATACTTGCCTGCCAATGGATTCTGTTTCTGCATTCATTTTGTAAATTACAATCTTACCGTCGTTATTTGGGGGAAGATAACCATTAGGAACATCTGGAGTAGGGGCAAGAAGGAAACGCCTTTTGATGACCAACCACTGCTCTTTGTCCCTGTCAGTTTGCGCAGCGGAAAACGGGTGCTGGCCGCGTGGTACACATCTGCAATCTGCCTGAGGGAAGCTGCACTGAGAATGACGTCATTAACCTGGGGCTGCCCTTTGGAAAGGTCACTAATTACATCCTCATGAAGTCTACCAATCAGGTGGGTCTGGGCACTTTCACACTGGTGTGTACCAGATAGACCACATATTGGTGGAGAGGAACCATATAATTTTTTTTTTAAAAGAAGCTGTTCATAACCTAAAGGGGTGGGTACACAGCTGGCCTCCCGCTGGTACCGCACAGAGGCTTTCGTTGGCAGTGGTGTTTTGTTTCCTCTTGTTTCACCTTACCCTTCTTGTGATGGGTGCAGGCCTTTGTGAGTTACCTGGAGGTGAGGAGATGCTCATTGGCATGGAAAAGCTAACTGGCCCTTAAAATAAATCCGATGGGCATGAGTCTTTTCGTTGTGTTACCAATCCCCCGAGCGAATGCTGCTCTCTGTCACCTTCTAAGCTTGTCATATCTGAGAGTGAGGATTTGGAGCCAGCCAGCAACTGACTGGGAATGGTTATTTTTACTCATGCTTGGTATTAGCATCTGAGGCTTGTGGCTCTCATAGCAGGAGAGTAGGTAGGAGTTAATGGATGCCTGGTCAATCCAAGGAACTAAAAACCCTGAATCCACGAGGATCGGCTGAGTCTTTGGGGGCTAATATGTTTGTCTTCTAAAGTCAGAGGAGGAGTTTATACAGAGACTCATCAGAAGTAAGAATATTTTGTCTTTTATTTTTAATATTTTTACTTTAAGAATCAGAGAAACAGGCATAAGAGAGATGCTTTTCTTAATTAAGGCTTGAACTTTAGAGACTCAAAGCCACCTCATGTCATCAGTGGTCTTCCTCCATCAACCCGGGCTTAGAATGCTCACTTAATCTTTTCAGTCCCCCTTCTCAGAATTCTGTTTTGGGTAAATTTCCAAAATTCAGCTTGCAACATTAATGCAGTGAGAGTCACTGAATTTGTTTTATACCTATGTGACAGGTGGACTGAAAGTGCTAAGATGTTTGCAGGAAGAAAGAGGCACTTAAAGTCAGGCAGAGAAAGATAAATACTGTATGATATCACTTATATTTGGAATCTTAAAAAAATACAACAAACTAGTGAATATAATATAAAAGAAGCAGACTCACAGATGTATAGAGAACAAACTGGTGGTTATGAGCCAGGAGGAGGGGCAAGATAGGGGTGGGGGAGTGGGACATACAAACTATTGGGTGTAAAATAGGCCCAAGGATATACTGTACAATACAGAGAGTGGAGCCAATATTTTGTCATAACTGTAAATGGAAAGTAACCTTTAAAAATTGTATAAAAATTAAAAATTAAAAAAAAAAGGAAGAGGCACTTAGAATGTTGAGTGGCAGAATTTGAAATAAAAGTATAAAGAATCCTGACTTCATGGTCTCCCATGCTTCTGGAAGGGTGGGACCCATATTCCTGTGACCTCAGAGAAAGGCACCTGAAATTAGAAACAAATATGAGGGAAGGAGGGAGGACAAGCTTGTTTGGCCCATCGAGTTCAAGGAAGTGGGAGATGAGGGCTCCCTTGTCACAGGCCGTGTTTCCTTCTTAACCCCGAGGGACCAGGTCCGCACAGCGTCGTACGATACAAACCAAACAAATCTAAGAGGCAGTGACAGTGACAAATCCACCCCAGCACCTTCTGGGGTAAACTGACAGGTCCATCAAAACAGTCTATTTAGAAACTCCCTGTAGACACTGATTGAATGGAAAAGGTTGTTTCTTTGTGTTTTTGGTTTTTAAAAAAATTTCTTTAATCAGAACAGTTAAATAAAGAGGAGAATTGCTGTGGAAACATAACTGAGGGTTTTCCTCTCTCTCTGGCTCAAAAAGACCTGGCCTTCCTTCAAGCCTAGGGAGACCCTGAGATTTTTTTTTTTAGTGTGTTTCTTTCTTTGCAAAGAAATTGAGAGCTGAGATACCCGGGGCTTGTGTCCCTCTCTGTCTCCTGCCATCGCCACCACCAAATGGCAAGTTTTGCAGGGAACAGCCCAGGGTCACTTGTGCAACAGACTCACTCTCCCCTGCCCCCTTCCCTCCGAGAACTGTGGGTTAATGCACCCTCCCATCCCCAAGGGGCTCCTGTGGCGTGATGCAGCCTGGGATAGACACACATAATTAAGAATAATGTTTGGTAACCATGGGGATCAGGAGAGAGGGCCATCTTATGAGCTCTTTTGCTGAAGTTAACAAATAGGTCTCTGAACAGATGGGATCAAAGAGAGCTCTTCTTCATACTGAATAATTTTCTTTTTATTGAACACATAAAACATGACTCTAAATGCACTAGTCTTAAGTGTACAACTCCATTAATTTTTTACATGTGTGCCCTCATGTTGTTTCCATACAGGTCAAGATATAGAACATTTCTAGAACCTCACTCCCCTTCCCAGGCAATACCCCAACCCTACCCCAGAGGGAAGCTCAACTCTAACTTTTATCCCCGTCAGTTTGTTTTGCCTATTCATGAACTTCATATACATAGAATCATACCTTGTATGGAATTTTATTTAAAACCATTCAGGTCAAGTCTAATGTCTATCCTTCCTTGCTTTCCAGGCCTTTTTAGAGATGGCTTACACAGAGGCTGCCCAGGCCATGGTCCAGTATTACCAAGAAAAATCTGCTATGATCAATGGTGAGAAGTTGCTCATTCGGATGTCCAAGCGATACAAGGAATTGCAGCTGAAGGTAAAGCATTCTCTCTCATTCAGTTATTCAGCAAGCTTCAGCTGAGTGTCTCCAGCTTGTCAGCCACTGGCTAAGTGCTGGCGGGAAGGAGAGGACAGGAAAAGATCCAATAATTATCCACTGTCAATGAGGATATCACATGGAATGGCAGATATCATTAGAACATGGCAAGAAAAGTGCTCACTGAGATAAGTTCAGAATGCAAAGGGACCCTTGAGACAGGATGACTAACCACGTGGGACCCAATGAGAATTTTGAGGGAAATCTTGAAAGAGGCAGCAAGAAGGGAAAAGTGGTTGCTTTTCAGAGTTGAGAGTTTCAGGCATGAACCCCTGAATGTAACCTCCTTCTCTGCCCAGACAGGTCTTCAGTAACTTTTTCTTCCTCCGTCACCCTACTTGATCTCCTGTTCTCTCCTCCGTCCTTTATGTCTTAATCCCCCTGCAAATCCTTTTAAGCAGCACATGACTGAATTGGCCACTGTCTGAACTCAGGGATGAATTCAGATAATTCCAAACGGGACTTTTGTGTTTGTTTTAGCTTGTTTTCTCTTCTTTTCTTTCTTTCTTTTTTTGCTTTATTGTGAAGTATAACATAGAGACAGAAAAGTGGCTAATTATGTATTGTACAGTTTAAAAAGTAATAATGGGCAAAATCTCATAAATCCTGTAAATCACCACCAGAGTCAAAAAACAAGACATAGGCAGCAGCCAGAAGCCCCCGTGAGTCCTTTCTTATGCTCAGCCCCTCCACCTCCCCTCTCCTGACTCTGAGGACAAGCATTTCCTTGCTTTTCCTTATTATTCTACCCTCTCTCTCTGCCCTCCTTAACATTATAGTTTAGCTTTGCCTATTTTTGAGATTCATGTGAACGGAATCACACTGTGTTCTTTCATTACTTCTTTCGTTCAGCATTGTGCCGCCCATGTTGGGTGTGTCTGCTTATTTTCATTATTATATAGATTTCCATTGCATGACTATAAATTTGTTTATGCGTCCCACTGTTGATGGACGTTTGGGTTGTTTCCAGTTTTAGGCTATGGTGGACAATGCTACTATCGACATTTTGAAGCATGTTAATCCAGTACCCATGGCCAAGAGCATATAACCAGGGGATCGTGCATAACTAGAAATGGAATTGCTGGATCACAAGGCATACTTACCCTTCACTTTACCAGATAACAGCATTTCTACTAGTGGTGTCTGAGAGTGTGCAGTGGTTCACCTTGCTAACACTTTGTCTCGTCCAACTTTTTCATTTTTGCCTTTCTAGAGAGAGTGTAATGGTTTATCGTGGTTTTTTAGTTTTCCATATTACTGGTTGAAGTTGAGCAGTTATTCACATGGTTATTGGTTTATTGGTTATATCCATCTAGATCTTCTCTGCTGAGAAAAATTTTTTAAGTCATTTGCCCATGTTTTTCTTTTGGATTGTGTCCTCCTGTTGGCTTGTAGGTGTCCTCTTGGCTGGAGCACTTAGTCCATTTGGAATTATTATAATTAATGCCATATTTATGCTTAAATCTAACTTTTTAATTTTGTACTTTCTACTGTCCTGTTTAATAGGGATTTTCCAGCTCACTTCAGCTTTTTCCACATTTCTTAGGGTCCATTTAGTCCAAGACCCATAGCCCTTAATCCGCCTTCAAGGTTCAAGTCAGAAGATGAAGGCTCCATGGTCGTTTCTAGCTGGGACTAGCGTTCTGACAAGTCTACGTAGGCAGATCCGTAACGTGTCCGCCAGTTGCCGAAGTCCTGATTCTGCTTTGCTTGCTTCTTCAGATAGAAACTTAACAATTTTGTTTTTTTCCCGACTCGGGAAAGCATGTTGCTTTTCTCAGACAAGTGAAAGATCCTGCCCCATTCTGTACCCAAAATCCTTGTTTTCCTGGATTCTGCCCTGGGGGCTAAAATTGAATTTCTACACTGAATTCCCAGTGGAGCTTTTTGGCCTCCAAATGAGATGCTGTCATAAGTTTCTACTTAGGATTAACAGCAGTCCTCTGCTTCTTAAAGGACCAAGGCACTGCTGTCCCTTACCAAGGGAGGTCGTTTGGGGTGGTGCAAAATTGATGGGTTAAAGGGGTCAGATGGTCAAAGTTTGCATTCAGCAGACGTTCACTGAGTTCTCACTGTGGGTGGGAGCTGGGCCAGGCCCCACAGATATGGAGGTAGCAAGTTTGTAGAAGAGCTGACAGGTTAGTGGGAAGAAGAACACAAACAGAACCATCACCAACCATGTGACCCACACCAGATTGGAGGGTGCTAGCACCAGCCTAGCCTCCACCCCTTCCTGCTTTGATGACCTTGGACAAATTGCTTAACCTCTGTGAACCTCAGTTTCCAGATCAGTAAAGGACTATACCTTGTGTTCTTTGGTTTTAAACATTTTTTTTCATACGTATCTCTTTGAGTCTCACAACCACCCTCCTCTATGAGGTGTGCAGGGTGGATAATAACAGTAATTATAATAGTACAACAATAATAACAAGACTATGTACCTTTAATTGAGTCGAGGTACTCTGGGTCAAGTAACGTGCCAAGCACTTCCATACATGATGTAATGCTGACGTCAGTCCCGTCACACAGGTATTATTATCCCAGTTTTACAGATAACAAAACTGAGGCTCATAGCAATTCAGTAACTTGCCCAAGATTATAGTTACTGGAAGAGCCATGATTAAAATCCAGGACTGTTTTGGTTTTGTACTATATCTGTATCTCTGTATTGTGTTTTTATGATCTCCATTGTCCACATGAAAAAAAAAAAAGGAGAGAAATCAGGTAATTTGCTTACAGTCACCCAGTCAGTAAGCAGCAGAGACTGTACCCTAACAGAGCTTCTCCAGCTTTACTGTGCATACAAATCTCTTGTGGATCTTGTTAACATTTCTGATTCCGTAGGTCTGGGGCAGGGCTGTGCCTGCATTTCTCACAAGCTCCCAGGAAATGCTGATGTTTCTGGTTCTCAGAGCACACTTTGAGTGGCTAGAACAACACACTGTCCCTGACTTTTAGTAAGGATTCTCTGCTCCCCAAGCGGTCACACTGCGTCTGTGTGAAAGCATCTCAAAGCATATTTCAACTATGTAGTAATGCGTGCATTATGATCCCTGTGTTGACATGAATTAGCTAGCACTTTCCCTGCAAGGAACAGAAATTTGTCTCAATTAAGCATATCGGCTAAAGCAGAAAAACAAAAAGGAAAGTATTTGTGCATGTAACTGAAAAGACCAGGAGGAGCCCTGGCTGCAGGCACGGCTGGATTTGGGGCCCAAGTGATATCATTGGGACTTGCTCTCTCTCCCCTCTGCCTTCTGTTCGCTGGGCATTGTGGTTGGGGTCTCCCTGGGATGGCCCCTGACTGCCTCCGGCTGTCTCCTCTAGGTGGCATGATGGCTTCAGTGACTCCAGCCGCTCTGGCTCCTCAGCCATCCATTTCCTTCAAGAGAAAGCCAGCGCTTTACCTGGTAGCTCCCACGGAAGTCCCGAGAGTTATTCAGGGCGAGCCTCAAACATGTGCCCTTCCCTGAACCAACCTCTGTGGCCGTGCTGGGACTGGCCAGTCCTGTGTCACCTCTGCATCCTGAGAGCAGGCTGGGAAGGAGGGTATGGTTCCTGAGGGGGGGGTAGACAGTAGACCACTGTATTCACACGTGTCTCTGGGCCAAAGGGCTTCCACATGGGGTCCCACCAGGGCTTGCAGAGGTAGGGGAAATTTGCATTGGTCTTTCTCCTTAACTCTATCTTTTGCTCACCAAGCAAGGTGGAGGGAGACAGAGAGATTTGAAGATTGCCTCTCTTGAATATTTCCTCATGCCGGTAATCTTGTCTCCCTATAACCTGATGACAGAGATTCTATTCCTCAGGGCATTTGGGGCAGAAACTTTCACATAACAGGTTTCCAACAAATGTGTGGAGAAAGAGAAACGAGAAAGAGAAAATCTGAAAAAACAATAAAAAGCAAGTGTTTTCCTTCCTGCAGACCTGCATGAGAAGGTCGGTTGCTCTATAGAGACCTCTCCAGAATCACAGCGTCTTCCAACCAGAAGGAAATTGAAATAGTTCAAACCTGTGCGTTCCAGTCTCTCCATCCGAGAACTGTCAGGGCAATTTTCAGGTCCTTTTGCCCAGAGATGCTCATTTAGTAGGCTGGGGTGGGACTGAGGCTCCCAGGTGGTTTGGGGGCAGGGGCCTGTTTTAGGGCCACTGTTCCTGCCAGCCTTCTAGCCACAGAGATGGTCTCTGGCCTTGGGAAGCCGTCTTGTGAGTGATCCATGATGTTCTTGGTTAGGAATCACAAATGATGCCTGAGGGTCTTCTCCGTGTAAGATGTGGTGCCGAGAGCTACAATGAATATGAGAATGGTCTTCACTTGGGGGAAGTTTGCTGTCTCACTGGGGAGAGAAGCTGTTCTTGTGTGAAATTATGCAAGATTTAAACACAAGTGCCTACATGTGGAGCTCCAAGAAGTTCAGGGGCAAAAGGCAGTGCTACTTGGTTGTGTAAAAAAGGGAGCGATTCCTGGGTAGGGCCTTGAGGGATAAGGCAACTTAGCTAAACAGAGAGAGGGAGAGAGAGAGAGAGAGGGCTTCCGGGCAGGGATCAGGGAAGAGGTGCAGAGCTTGGAAAGCCCCATGTTGTCAGAAACCGAGCGGCTATGGCAGGATCTGGCTCTGACAAGTTCAGGGCTCATCTGGAACGTTTCAGTATCTTCCTGGGACTCTTGAGACTTGTAGAGCAGCCATGGAGAGGTCAGAAGGCAGCTCCTTTTATGTTGGCCCAGCATCCTCAGCTTTTATCCGGATAGCCTGCTACGCCCAGAGGCTGTTGGTGGGTGCGCTGCATTATCTCACCTTTACAGGTGGGGAAAGTGAGTCTCCCACAGGCAACAAGCCAGGACCCCCGGTGACCCTGCCAGCTGGAGGCAGAGCTGGGGCTGCTCTTCCTGGTTGAGATTCTCAAGCCGTGGGGCCTCCCTCTGAGAATGTACTTTCCTGGGGGTCTACGGGGCTCAGAATCTCACCCTTGTCTTAAAGCAGCAAGATGTGTAGACCGAGAGCGTGGTGGCTGGTCCCGTGGGGGCTTGTTGACAGTGGAAATGGCTTCAAGGGTGTTCAGTGTATCATTCTCTCTACTTTTGTGTGTGTCTGAGAAGTTCCACAATAAAAAAGTACCCAAAGTGCCATTGTACGCGTACTCCGTTCTCTTTCCATTTCGACTCATCTGCAGTGATTACAGCTTTATTTTGCCTGCTTTCTTTACACCTTTAGCCACAAGATAACAAGGTCAGGCCTGAAGAGGAAGTTTGAGAGGATTTTCTTAGAGCTTTGAAAAGCTGATTCTGTTATTTGAAAGCCTTTGGCCACTTCAGACCCTTTCTCAGATGGCTGCTGGCGGGCGTGTGGGCCAGATAGTGCCAACAATTTGGAATTATCATTTAAAATAGAGGAACTGACCTCTGGTCCTCAGAGGGGGTCACAGTGCCTGTGACCGCCAGCCCCAGCATATAGTATTTGCAGATTGTCGTGTCCTCTCTCAGCAGCCCCACCCCTCCACCTCTCCAGCCAATCACCGCGGAGCGCCTCTTGTATGCGGTGGGGGGTGGGGAGGATATGAGGAGGGAGTGCCCTGTGCTGGTGCTGGCTGTGTGAAGATCAGTAACCCCATTCTCTGCCTCGCCGGGAACGTGGGGCCTGAACAGAAACAATTTCAGGGGGCTCTAGGCTGACAGTGGCCTCAGGAAGCTGGTCTGTGGTTGGGAAGATAGGAGTCAGAGAAATATTTAAGCCAAGAAGCAGCTCTGCTAGCCCCCAGAGAACTCCAGCTGCATCTACTGCATGGGCCACCAGAGGATGTTTTCCTCTGGGGTGCCTGATTGGCCAGCTCTGCCCCTCATCAGGGGGCACCCCAGAGGGGAGGGCCCAAGGGGGTTTGCCATCTGTGGTGATGGAGGTGCGTGCGGAAGGGACCACGAGCTCCTGGAATGCCTCTGGCTCTGACACTGGCCTGACCTGCCCCTCCCTGCAGGTCTCAGCTCCACCACACGCTGCCCTTGGGTAACCTGCAAAACCTCAGCGGCTCCCTGACCAGGCCCCCTCCTCTCACCCCAGGCTTTCCTGGGTCTGGACTGGAAGGAAAAATCATGAGGATTTGAGGTTCCAGGGGACAGAAGAAAAGTGTTGGGGACCCGAGGGACTCTTTTTTGCTGCAGGAGTCCCTCATCCAACCCCCTCAAGGAATTCATATGTTCTGAAAAGTTGCCATGGTACCTTTTACCCAATTTGGGGGTGCATTCTCTAGCCGTTGCCTATTCCAGCCTGACAGGACCCAGGATGCCGGCAGATCTCGTCACATGTCCCTGCACTTGGTCCTGACGGCTCCCACCAGCTTTCCCAAGCTCTCTTTGCTCACACATTGGCCCGAGTGGAGGCAGTGCTGCGTGGGTCTTCTGAGGACCAGCCATCCCGGGCTGGCCTCCCCCTGATACAGTAGGGAACTTCCTCTCTGTGGCCCAAGGTGGGCAGGCAGGAAGAAGACTCTCTCAGTGGGATCACTTCCAAATGAACCTTCTTGTTCTGCCCCCAGGTGGTGACCCACTGCCCTGGGGGAGGGCACAGGTGGTCTCGGCAGATGTGAGGAAACATCCTGGGCAGCAAGCAGCCTTCTTCTCAGTCCAGGCCCACAGCCCCAGCTCCCTCCCTTGCTGGGCCCCGGGTCTCTGCTTCTGGTCCAGTTTAAGCAGTTGAGGGGCTAGTTGGTGGTGCACAGCCTGGCTGATTTGGTTACTTGTAGGTGACACTTCCATATACTTATCGAGGGTCAACCTTTATGGCTATAGTGAGGTGAAAGGGACCATTTGCCAAAACTGTAAGACCTCCTTTCGGGTGGGCGTCCTGACCAGTGCTCAGTTCCCGGGCCTTTCCCTGAACAGGGATTGGCTGGCTTCTTGACCTCCCACTTCTTCACGACCACAAGGGTAGCGATCACTGCCTTCTCTCTTTCCTCTTGCGTTTCCAGTTGACAAGAGACGCCTCCCTGGCTTGAACATTTTCATTTCTTCCCTAAGTCCTAGCTCTGACCTCTTGCCCTGAAACCTTGACTGTTTCCCTAGCCTGACCCTCAGTCTCGACAGTAACACAGATGAGCAGCCAGGCAGCCAGAGGACTCAGAGAATTCCGGTCCCAGCAGATCACTGGCCCTGGTTTTCACATCTATAAAATGACATATTTGATGATACCTAACATTTGTGTAGTTCTAAGATTTCATGAGCCTTTGTTAACTCCATAGGAAAAAAATTGAGGATAAAAAGAACAGTTGATTAATTTTCTTAACAAAATTCTTTGTCAGAAATTGACCTTATGGACTGAGGGTTTATAAGTCTTTTTTTAAACGTGTTTTATTGAGATATAATTAACATACCATAAATTCACCCGTACATTTTCATTGAATGGACAAATTCTGTGTAGTCTTTTGGAAAATGCTCCTACCCTTTCATGAATTTCTTTTTTTAAATCAACTGTTTTGATTGTTTTGTTACTGTTTGTCTATTCTGGGTTTAGGAAAGGGCTTTGGTTGGGACTTGCGGGCTGGGTTGTTCCTGTCCTGGCACAGCCACCGTGTAGTGACTTCTGGGAAGGGCAGAGCTTTTGGGTGACTGGCATCCTCAGCTGGGAAGTCTGGCTTGCAGCCTGCACTACCCACCTTGCAGAGTTACGTTGAGCACCATATGTCCCCCGTGCAGGACCACACTGGAGTCGGGTGTTGCAGAGCATGGGGCGTGGAAAGGACCTCGGAGCTAGCATGCCTTTTGTCAAGTCCTGATTCCCTAATGATCTCTACGACTTTGAATGTATTCCTTAACCCAACACAACTCCAGGAGCCACCATCGAATACCACATGGCCGGTGACTGGGGCTGTTCCAGGCAGAACTCTGCCTCGACCTCTCTGGGTCTCAGTTTTCTCATGTATAAAATAAGGAGGCTGCATTCAGTGATCTTCAAGTCTCTTTCCAGGTTGTAATTCCTCCCTCTCTCCCTCCCTCTTTCCCTTCCTTCTTTCACATACAGATATTTTCTTTTATTTGGAGAAGGGGGGAGGTAGGTGTTTATTAACAAGCGCTGCTCTTTCCCAGGATGCGGATGGGGAGCCTCAGCCCTTCCTCCCCCGCACACTGGATGACTTGCACCCGGACCACTCAGCCCTACCGCCACCCAGTGTTATGCTCATACTCCTCAGCCCCTGGATCAAGCTTTTTCTTCCCCTGAAAAAGCACTTTCCCCCTTGGTGGATGGGGCAGTGAACCCGAGTCCTAGCTGCTTCCCTCTGGTGTTTGCAAGGCCGTTTCTGGTCTGATGGTGACCCCTCTGACTTTGCCTAGAAACCTGGGAAAACCGTGGCCGCCATCATCCAGGACATCCATTCCCAGAGGGAGAGGGACATGTTCCGGGAAGCAGACAGGTGAGACCCCGCCTTAGGGCTCAGGGCAGATTCTGTGTCCTTGGGACATTCTCCCTCTCTCATTCTTTGAGGTATTTGAGTCCCTCTGGGCCCTGCCCTTGCCCCTGCCCCATCCTTCAGCCTTTCTGGGCCCTACACTTCCACGTACCCCAAGGAGTGCATCAGTCCAGTCCAGTGCTCAGCTTAAAGCTCAGGAAAATGCCAGATACTAAGCTTCCTCTCAGCTCCTCCTCCTCTGTTGGAAAGGAATGTAGGAGGGGGTCTGTTGATATATGACTCAGGGGCAAGGGTACACTCTGCTGAAACAGCCTGAAAGTGTCTGTGTGTGTTTGGTGTGTGTTGGTGTGATTGTGTTGTGTGTGTATTGTATGTGGTATTTGTGTGTGGTGTGTGTGTGTGTGCTGTGTGTGTGTAGTGTTTGGTGTGTGCGTATGTAGCTCTTTAGGCTTGAAATTTTTGTTTGCGTCTTTGTTTTAAAAAGGATGGTTATTTGGGTTTTTAAAAGACGCGTGTGAAGCCCCACTGTGCCCCTGCAGTTCTGCGGCAGAGTCGGGGGGCAGGTGACTAGGAGGTCTTGCTCTGAACCTCGACAGGCCAGGGTCCTTTTCTGGGTTTCAGTTTCTTGATCTGAAACACGAGCAGGTCAGAGCTCTAAGATCTCTTCCTACCCCAAAATGCCTTCCTAGAAAAATGGAGGCCAAGAGGTGGCCTTTTTTTTGGTAGTGGCCAGGTGGAGGGGTGGCTTCAGTCTCATAGCCAAGAGGCCAGTTGATTGAATCCCAAGGGTAGGCAGCCTTGCCCACCAGGCTGGGCCAGGGCAACCTTGCCCCCACGTCCACCCCACATCTCCTGCTCCCCAAACGTAGCTCACTTCTAAGAGGAAGAAAGATGAGGCTGGGCCAAACCAGCCCAATTATTCATCCCAGTTACCGGGAGCAAAATGAGTGAAGGGGTAGAGAGCGGCCAGAACTGTGCCTAGGGAAAATCTCTCCCAGAAACCCGGAAGGAGGAAGACCTCTCCCCTGGACCAGTCCCTGTGTGGTCTGCACGGTTGTGATGAAGAGTCAGTGGCCTGGTGGGGTCATATGCACAGGATGCTGTTGCAGAGATGGGGTGTATCTGGGTTTGGGGGCTGCGGGGGGTGCAGATTCTAAAATGACTCCCTTGCTACCTCCCAGATACGGCCCAGAAAGACCGAGATCTCGAAGTCCAATGAGCCGGTCACTGTCCCCGCGGTCCCACACTCCGAGCTTCACCTCCTGCAGCTCTTCCCACAGCCCCCCGGGCCCCTCTCGGGCCGACTGGGGCAACGGCCGGGACTCGTGGGAGCCCTCTCCCTACCCTAGGAGGGAGGAAGAGCGAGGCCCGGCCCCCTGGAGGGAGAACGGGGAGGACAAGAGGGACAGGACCGACCCGTGGCCACACGACCGCAGACACTACCCCCGGCAACTAGACAAAGTGGAGTCAGACGAGCGACTTGACGGAGGGAGGGGCTACCGAGAAAAGCACCCGAGGTCGGGGTCCCCCAACCCACTCCACTCTGCGACATCGTCGTCAGGCTACAAGAGCCGAGAGGACGGCTACTACCGGAAAGAGGCCAAGGGCAAGTCGGACAAGTATGTAAAGCAGCCACAGGATGCCCCCGGGAGGTCCAGGAGGAAGGACGAGGCCAGGCTTCGGGAAAGCAGACACCCCCACCCCGAAGACTCAGGCAGGGAGGACGGGCCAGAGCTGAAGGGCACCAGGCCCCCCGAGAGCACCAAGTCTAAGCAGAGTGAGAGAAACAGAACCAAGAGACCCGAGAGAGACCAAGAAGGAGCAGATGACAGAAAAGAAAACAGAACAGCAGAGGATGAGGTAATGATGCAATCCCTTCCCCAGGTGGCAGGTAAGGTGAGGCAGGTCCCACGGGAGACTGCTACTCATAGGATGATGCATATTATGGAACAATGAAACCCTTACCGAATGTTTGCTCTGAGCCAGCCACTGTGCTGACCACCTTAGCTCGTCATTTAAACCTTGCAGCAACCCTGTGAGATAATACTAGTCATAATTCTGTTCTTCCTATAGAGGAGGAAACTGAGGCACAGAGAGCTTAAGTGAGTTGCCCAAGGATACACAGTCAAGCAATGGCAGAGCTGGAGTCATACTTAGGTGATCTGGCTCCAAATCCCACAGCACCCTGCTGCCTTTACTAGAAGTTAGGCAGGGACATGATACAAAAGCCTTCGGTGGTCCTGTTTGTCCAGGGTGGAGTGGCCCCGAGGTGTTCGCATCCGCACACTCAGCCGCGGGAGATTAGATCTTTGGTCCACTGCTTCCTCTCTCCTGCCAAAAGCACCTACCGATCCCAGGGCTTTGATGAGAGGGGGTAAAGGAAAAGCAGCCACCACCTACTAAGTTATCCTGGGTGCCCAGGCCTTGGTGTGTTTCTCTGGACACTGTCCACTGTGTTTTCCTTCCACTGGAATACAAATGCTCGGCAGTTGGCTGGCACCTTTCATCCATGTGCCTCATCCAGGGCTTCTAACCTGCCGCATGACTTCAGTTCACACAGGACTTTGGGTACCAGGTTTATATTCTAGCTTGGCTTACACTCCCTTCTTGCCAGAACTGCCTACATTTAAGTACCAGTGGAACAGTGGAGGTTGGGGGTGGGGGTGGTCTGTGTAAAGAATCCATAAAAACTCCTAGATGCATATCTTCTAGTCTGCCCCAGGAGCTGTTGCCAATTACTAAGTCCGAATAAGAATCTCAGGGCTCAACTCCATGAACACTGAAGAGCCACACTTTTGGCCTGAACTTTATTTCTACACTCATTACCAGGGACAGGGGACCCAAAGATGAACAGGACATAGTCATGTTATGGCAGAGACCAAGGTCTAACCAACGGTGGAAGCAGGGCTACACAAGTAATTCACATATAGGGGCCCCTGCTGCAGTCACATGGTGGACGGGCTGCTCTTTGGGCAGTCAGCTCTGCGGAGGGAGACGAGGAAAGCTGCACAGAGCGGGTGACATTTGAGCTGAGCATCGAATGTCGGGGGAAAAGCAATTTGGGAAGCAGCAAGGGCAAAAGTGAGAAAGGAAAACTTTTTAAATTGAGGTATAGTTGATTTACAGTATTATGTGAGTTTCAGGTTTACAACATAGTCAATATTATTTAAACACCTTTCTTGTGGTATGATCCCTGTACAGTAAACTACACATATTTCAGATGGACAATTTGATGAACTTACACCAATGAAACCACCACCACCACAATCAAGACAGCCAACATTTCCATCACTCTCCAAGAGGTGAAAATTTCGAATTCCCAGTTTATCCCTTCCCACCCTCTTTACACACTGGTAACCATAACTTTGTTCTCTATGGCTGTTTCTGTTTTGTAAATAAGTTCATTTGTGTCCTTTTTTTTTTAAGATTCCACATAAAAGCAATATCATATGGTATCTTTCTTTCTCTTTCTGACCTACTTCACTTAGAATGACAATCTCCAGGTCCATCCACATTGCTGCAAATGGCATTATTTTATTCTTTTTTTTTTTGGCAGTAGTATTCCTTTGTGTATATACATCTATGCTTAGAGGCGTCCAAGGGGTGGTGTGGAGTCAGTGCCTGGAGTAAAGGCACAGAGGGATTGAGAGCGAGCATTGGCAGGGCCTCAAGGCTGGACCTCATACACGTACCCCTGGTCTGCAGCCCTCTGTCCCCCATGGCGAGGTTAGGGGAGCTGCCCCTCTGCACTCCTACCCACACTTCTGAGACTCTTCTTTGGTAACCTCACTTGTTCTGTGATACCCACGCTGCTTTCCTTGGTTTGCACACGTTGTTCATTCAAGGTGATACACACTGGGGATCATTTCACGAGCTCCTGTTGCAAAAGAAGATTCCCAGAAAGGCCTCATGGGTTTCCCCACGATTCTGTTCTGGGAGGCTCTACCTTTAATAGCCTTAGAGTGGGATCACTAGGGACTTGTTGGGGTCCCCAACAGATAGTTTCTGTGGGTTTGGAGCCGGGCAGCCCTATGCCATTTGGTGGAATCCCAGCAGAATAACGAGTTTTCTTCCCTGATCTCAAACTCTTATCTCAATCATGAGAACCACCCAGACCCCATAGGGCTGCCCCCGGAGTCAGAGAACAGGCAGCTGCTGAATTTGGGGAATGAAGGCAGCAGGGCTGAGGAAGGGTCTTTGCATTTGCGCATACCACAGCAGGGCCTTTACACGTGTCCTCCTGCCCGGGAACCCCTCCCCCCGAAATCCACGTGGCCCTCCTCACCTAACCTTTGTCTTTACTCATTGTCACATTCTCCGAAGTTTATTCCTGGCCACCACATAAAATCACAACGTCCCAAACCCGCTTTCCTTGTCTTGGTGGCACCTGTCTCCTTCTAACGTATCCCCTAATGTTTCTATGTTACTTGGTCTCCCCTCCCTCTCAGCCCTCCCCCCAACATAACCTCCATGAGGGCAGGAATTTCTGTCTGCGGTGCTCACTGCCTGCCCCCGGTTTCTAGATGAGTGTATGGAACTGAGTGAGCGTTCAGTATGTATTTGCTGAAAGAATAAATGACTGAGCCAGTTCTGGAGGCAAAGGCTTGGCTTCTGAGAACCAGGTCACACGCTGTTCTTCTCAGCTCAGTTTTCTCGTTGGTGGAATGGGTGTGATCCCAAGGCTGCTGTAGGACTTCCACAAGCTTGTGCTAGTGGGAAGCCCCGGGAAGTATCTGGAGAGGGTGCCCGTGCTGGTGAAGCCAGCGTGTGCACCGCTCAGTGTTCGTGGGTGGCCGCAGCCAGACGGGAGACCCAGCCCCAACCACGAGACCAGAGAAAGAAGAAAGAAATCAAGTCCCTGAATAGGGAGACCTGGGAAAGAGGTGCTCCTCTGCTTTCCCAGACAGGCCATCAGGTCGACAGACCTAGGTGCCTAGAGAAGGGGAGCCAGGCAGGTGACACAGGCCACCAGGTAGCACGGGTGGGGCCAAAGTGGAGAGCTGGGACCGTGGCAGACCCAGGAGGAGGGGGCTGTCTGCTGGGGCAGCCGCCGTGCTGCTCCCCTCTGTGGCTGCTGTTCAGGGAGGCATGCCCTGCGCAGTCAGCCCTCCCATTTCTGGGAGCAAGACCCACGTCCAGATGCAGATATTGGTATGACATTTCCCACATTTTAGAGACCAAAACATGCCTGTGGACCAGATGGAGCCCCAGGGGTCCCCAGGATGCAGCCCACAGTATAAACAAGCCATAGGAGAGAGAAATAGAAAAACCACTTATGCTCAGTTCAAAGCCCAGACCCAAGCTCACTGGGAGGCAGTTGCGAACCTGTTATTCACTCCACCGCTTCCTACCCATCTCCATTCTTGTCTTGACCGGTGTTCATGGAGCACCTGGCACTGGGGCTACAGTTGTGAATCAGAGCTGCAATGACCCCTGATCTCATGAAGCTCATGGTCTAATGGAAAACATATTAATCAAATAATTCCCTAAGTGAGTAGATGAGTGAGAGTATTAAGTGCTAAGGAGATGGAGGTGTATAGGGCTGTTAGTACCTATGACGAATCAGAGGCTTCCCTGAGTTAGGATGTGGCTGTTGAGATTTGAAGGAATGGTGAGTATTTACTGGATGAAAAGGAAGGAGAGCAGACACAGGAAATATCCTGTGCAAAGGCCCTGTGGCTGGAGGCCAGTGTTTCTGGAGCAGAGAGAGCCAGGGTTAGAATGATGGGAGGTGAAGCTGATTTATATCAACGGGGGCCACATCATGCAGGGCCTTGTAGGCCGGTTATGGAGTTTTGTCTTTATCCTCAGAGCAAGGGGAAGCAAATGAAATGTTCAAGCTAAAAGGTGCAGTGGGGATGTGATAGGTTTGCATTTTGGAGTCACTATTCTCGATCACTTGGGAGGAGGCTACAGAGCGCAAGGGGGAGACCAGTGAAGAAGTTGTTTAGCAGTAGCCCCAGCCCTGCGGTGGCAGCCCTGCCTGGAACGGTCCAGACTTAATACACTGGTCCCTGAGCCGGTAGGGGGAGCCGGGGGCATTGGTTGCATCTGTCTGTTCCCATAAACTGCTGTCACCTGGAAATGATCCCAGGGCCAGGAGTGCACTGAAAGGCCCTGCTCTGTTTCCTTTGCCTGCAGGGAGGAAGAGCAGGGGTCCACCTGGTGGGGGGCTTCCGGCAGGCCAGGCAGTCCCTGCCTCTCCCAGCTTGAACTGGAGGGAGTCTGTTTACCATACTGAGCTGGGACTGTGGCGGCAGGAGCTGCCTGGGAAGGGTTAGGGGTATTTATTTTGACAAGGGAGCGCTGTGGATTATTCATTCAGGGAGACAGAAATAAAGCGGTCCCCTGCTGGTAGAAGCTAAGTAGGCCTCTGGAGCTGCCTTGAGCTCAAGTTAGCTCAGCGGGCTAGAGTAGAGCTTCTGCTCCAGATGCTGGAAAAAGCAAAGATCTGAGGATTTGAATTGTCCTTCCCTGTCCCGTAATAACTGGTTAAACCCGTCAGCCCTGAGCTCCTGCCCCCGCTGGCTCCTCATCAGCAAAGAGGGGTGTGTCTGGTCATAAGAAGTCAGAGCGGGAGTGGTTTCCTTTGAGCCAACCTCAGCCAAAAATGTCGAGAAAATGCAGCCTTCTCCCAAGAATGCCTGGGAATGGTCATTGACTTGGTGGCCAAAGTTTAAGTCACAGGAGACTCTCCTCCTCAAACTTCTAAACTGGGGGCTGGCAAACTTTTTTCCATAAAGCACCAGATATAACTATTTCAGCTGTATGGGCCAAGAGGCAGCATTGAGGATATTATGTTGGTACTTAGAGAATCATTTAACATGCAACCATTTAGAGGGGTGAAAAGCATTGTTGGTTCCCTGACTGCACAGAAAGAGGCGCCGGATCGGATTTGGCTCAAGGGCGATACTTGGCTGACCTCTGTTGTAATCCTAATTCTTGAACCAGACACCTGCTTTCAATTGTTCAGTTTCCCAGACTCGAGCAGTATCATGAGGGGCTTAACTTGAGGGATGGAACAGAAGGAAGGAAGAAGGGGAGGGATCGCTGGTTTGGGCTGTAGCCCCAGGACAGGAGTAAGGCAGAAGAGAGGTGAGTGGCACTGCTTGGTGACAACACCCTTCCTACCCACAAACAGCCTAGATGTGATTTGTTTAATGGCCAAGACCGATCTGTTGGGGAGGTGTCACCATGATGGTTGTTAAATCCAGGATCACTTCCCCCGTGGCCCCTTTGCTCACCCTCACTGTCCACAGATTTCACAGCTGCAGAAAGTGCCTGATTTGCCAGGGATTTCTGTCTTCCTCAAGCATTCAGGCCAGCCGTGAAGATATTTCTGTGCCTCCGTTTGTCTGTGTGACCTTGAACAAGTGACTTACCCTCTCTGAGCTTCAGTTTCCTCACCTCTATAGTGAAGATGATAATAGCACCTGCCTCCGAGAGCTTTTGTGAGGATAAGGGAAATGCTGTGGGTGAAATATGCCCGACAGCTGTTAGCTGTGCTCTGCAGCATTGTTTTCCTCTTGGTGTGCCCTCTTTTCTCCGTCCCTGCTCACTGTTGGCTTGGTTTGTTCTGTTCTTTCCTTGGTAAGGCTGGAAAAGAAGAGCAGGACAGCATGGAAGATAGCCCCACATCGGTGGGCAGGCAGGAGAAAGAAACAGAATCCTCTGATGCAGAAAATACAAGGACAAGGAAGGTAAAGTTTGTCCCAGATGCTGGCAGTGTAGCCTCATCGGCACGACAGCCATTGGGTACCAAGTCACAGGGGTCCCCAGCCTGCCTAGTGATGCCCTGCTCGCTGTCTGGGACGTGTCCGGGACCGCGCCAGTGGGTCTGTGAATGAAGCCAGCACTTCTTGGAGGGATGGCTTTGCCTGGGACCTTTGCACAGTCTTTATTGGGGAGACCTTTACCACCTACCTGCCTGGGCTCTGCCTCAGTCTTCAGTAATTTGGCTGTGCTTATAAGAGAAAATATGGGCTGCCCAAAAAAGAGTCAGGTTTCAGAGCCAGGCTCCCAAAATAGGCAGGTCCCGTGGGAGGAGCCGGAGGAGGAAGGGGGCTTTGGGGACTCAAGCTGGGGCCCTGACCTCGGCAGTCCCAGACCCTGGGATTAACAAAACATCTACTGTGCTTGTAAAGATTACTTTACTTAATTGAAATGAAAAACCCAGTTACAGGGCTGAGACCGCCACAGCAGAAAGAAATGTCCCTGGAACATGGCCAGCTTCATGCCTTTCCGGTCAGGAGAGGCGGAGAGATGAGTATCGCTGGCAGGGAAGCTGATCTCTTAAATCTGGCTGCTGGGTTCATGAAAGTGTCGGGAGGGGCCAAGTGTGAGCCGTGGCTATGGAGGTTGCACCCTTGCTGGGAGAGGGTGTTGGGGGGAATTTTGTGAAGACTGTGCAGCAGTTACATTTAGTGATGTCCTGCATGCAAGGAAATAGCTCCAGCAAGTTGATGTGCTTAGAATTTATAACTTAATCACTCATTCATTCAAAAATATTTATTGAGCACATATTATGTACCAGGAGTTGAAATTCTTTGTGCCACGTTAAACATGGTTGGTTAAGCAGTAAGGGCTCATTTCAGATCCTGTGCTGTTTTGAGCCTCATCCTAAGAGATGAATCAGTGCTAAGAGATCTGAATGGTTTACAGCTCCTATTACCTAGTAAATGTTCCCAGTAGGAGTCAGATTGTTGAGGATCTTCCTAGTTTGAGGGATCCTGTGGTCAAGGTTTGTGCCCCTTTCTGGTTGAATGTGAAGAGCCACTCCTTAGCCACCCTCTGACCTCCATTCTGCATTTTTATTCAGGAGCAAGACTTGGAGAGTGGAAGTGAGGCGGAGGGGGAGAGCTGGTATCCCACCAACATGGAGGAGCTGGTTACAGTAGACGAGGTGGGGGAGGAAGAAGATTTTATTATGGAACCGGACATCCCAGAACTGGAAGAAATTGTGCCCATTGACCAGAAGAACAAAATCTGTCCAGAAATGTGTCCCTGTGTGACGACCACCTTAGACCTGGACTTAGCCAAAGATTTCATCGAGGAGGGAGTCAAGACCATAGGTAATGGGGCCGTGGAAATCGGCCTCAAGTCGCCCAAAGAACTGCCTTTTGCTTCCACTAGCTGTCCTAGTGACATGGAGGTGGAAACGCCTGGCCTAAATCTGGATGCTGAGCGGAAGCCAGCTGAATGTGAGACAGGCCTCTCACTGGAGGGTTCAGATTGCTACGAGAAGCAGGCAAAGGCAGCAGAGAGCTCAGATGTGTGCCTGGCCTCTACACACCAGCAAATGTCTTCCCCCAAGCCAGCAGAGGAGAGGGCCTGGCAGCCTAGCCCCTCTCTCGATGACTGCAAGGCCAGGGAGACCCCCGAAGATGGGGCTGGTGAAGGCAGCCCCCTGGAGGAGAAAGCCAGCCCCACCACCGAAACCGACCTCCAAAGCCAGGCTTGCCAAGGAGTGTCGACCCAGGGTAACTACCTCCCCTTTCTCCTGGGCGGTTGGGTAGATGGGACCACCGCTCCCCTGGAGCAGCATGTGGGCATGAGCAGGCTGGAACGAAGCAAAGTAAGGTTTCAACCAGTATTAAAGCTGGTGCAGAAGGCAAGCTTCTAAAAGCCTGGTTAAACTGTCAGGGCTTTTAGGCAAGTGGTGTAAAGGCAATCAGATAGGAGGCGCCGCGTTTTCTGAGAAGCATACTCAGATAGGACGGACTTCTCTGAATTTACAGGAGCCCAGACGGACTCTGATATCTCAATTAGCAAATGTTTTGAGCTATCAAAGGAGCTTTGGTTCCTAGGGATCAGCAAGCAGCCTCTCTTACCCTCACAACAGAGGACCACCCAGGCATTATTTCTGTGAGGCCTGAGTGAGGTGGCGGGAGCCTGGGAGGCAGTGAAAGGAGTGGGCAGAGGCTAGAATGAGGGGCTCACAAGGGGTCCGGCCTGTTCTGCTTCTCACTGCCTCAGACCGGCTTTTCTCCAGTGTCTGATGGTGAAACAAGACTTTCCCCGAGATCTCCTCCATCTCCACTATAAGTGATGTTGTGTCTGTGCCCGGTACTATGACATCATGAAAGACAGGGTTTAAAATAGGCTAAGCCCTGTCTTCTCTGCCAAGTGGAAACTAAGCTCTATCAAGGGCTATGGCGGGGGTGGGGTGGGGGGAGGACGAGTATCCCTCAATGTTCTCCCAATGAAAATAACTAAAAATGCATTTTTTCAGAAGCATGCAGCATTGCAGAGTTTGAAGTAAGGGACGGGGGAAAAGAGGCGAGGGCGGAAAATATACATGAAAGGCTTAAAAAGAAACCTTTCAACCCAGTGCTGTGTGCTTGGCGCGAGCTGGTAGATGAGCTGGCGGCTTGGGCTTCCCCACATGTCAAGCTGACCTGAGCTGTTTTTCACCTGCGTGAATCTGAGTCTCCATAGAAACTCTGCCACGAGCTTCCTTCTTGTTGCTAGAGAAACGCTGAGGCCTGGGCTGTCTGGAGAAGGCAAGAAGGCAGAAGGAGCGAAGTGTCGTTCACCTTGCTCTGATTGAACCCCGTGCATTTCGCAGTACCAGTCTCAACATGCACTGGTGTTAATGGCCTATTAGCTTACCCAGTGTTTGGAGTTCACATTTAATAACACTGCTCGACAGGCTTGGGGTGAGAATGGCATTTCTGCCTGCCTCAGTGCTCCTGCGGACGTCAGCACAATTTTTGCACTTCCATAATTCTTCTGCCTGCGGAGAGGGTGTGATACTGAATGGGGAGGGTGGCAAAGGAGTGGGCAAGGCATCAGCAGCCCAACCCCCAAGGACCTAATGCAAAGATTTGCCAAGTTTTCTTGTGTGTGGCATTCTTCTGGCAGCTGAAAAAGCTCTTCATTATGGCACTTTGCTTCTGATTAGCAGCCCTCGCCCTAGTCCCATGTTATGAAGCAGCCCAAGGGACCATTCGCCATCACACAGTGCAAGGATAGAACTGCAGGGATTCTTAGAAGCGTGATGTGTTTCATTAGTTTTGCCCTGGCTCATGTTTTGCAGAAAACTCCAGGTACGTGGAAATGAAATCTCTGGACGTGAGGTCACCGGAATATGCTGAAGTTGAGCTGAAACAGCCTCTTTCTTTGCCGTCCTGGGAACCAGAGGATGTGTTCAGTGAACTCAGCATTCCTCTAGGTGGGTAAAATAAATCCACAGCCCTTCCTGAAAATTCAGCTCCAGGAAATGATAGTTCCGTAATAACATCTAAGAGCTTGAGAGGGCTTTTTGGCATTTGGTTGTTGTCTTTTCGTGTCTGATACAGTCATCTAGATTTGTGTGCCACTTTCAGGTTTTTTGCAATTTCGGTCTCCTGTAGTAGACCAGCCACCTCATGGGGTCAGACTCTGAACGGCACTGTCCTGGGAGCCAGAGCAAGGAGACTGTTCTCCCCGTCAGGAAATGCTTTATTCATGACCACACAGCCCTTATTCAGCCAGGGAAGCGGAGGCCCAGTGGCCGCCACAAAGTCAACAGAAATGAACCTCTTCTGCCAATGCCTTCCCTGCCCTCTCAGCCCCAGCCCTTCCCAAAACCATGCTACATTTTTTTCTCTTTGAGGGGCCAGCTTCTCTGAGGCAGTGATGCTGAACAGACTGCACTAGGGGGCAGGCCCTGTATAGTTGATAAAGGGGCACTGAGCAGAGAGAGACCTGGGTCCCTGTCCTCCCAATACTGAGTGACTGCAGGTCCTCAAACAAGCCTTCCCCAGGGGGAGGCGCTAGTCAATATGGAGGCTCACCCTTTCTAACGAGTTTCTTTTTTTCCTTTTCATCTGCTTTTAAATTTTTCTTCCTGTTTCTATCCTCCAAGTGTGCCATTTAGTCAGATTCAAAGAGCAAACTTCCTTTTTTTTTTAAGGGCTGAGTTTGCTGCATGCCTCAGGACAAAAACTGAAAAAGGGAAATACATACCGACCTTAGAATGAACTTAGATGACTGCAAGAAAGCCCTGGGTTTTTTTAACGCTGGAAAAGAGTTGCAAAGGCTGCCTTTCAGGGAAAGGGTGCCAGGCAGTTCGTTTAGGAATTGTTCGTGCATTCATTCAGTCAGCAACTTTTCCTAGATAACTGGCACCTTACGAGGCACTGGGGAGAGTCTAGAAATGGAACACAAGTCTCTTGGCATCCAAGAACTTGGAATCTGTATGACACACACAGGCAAAAATTAAGAATAAATTCTGCTACCTTATAATTCTTGTCTTTTCATTATTTTTTATTACAAAAAGTATAAAAGATTATTATAACAAATGTTTAAAACCATATAATGTTGTATCTCTTCCCCCCAGTGTCTGCTCAACTTCAGAAGTAGCCACTGTCATACCCATGGAGAATTTTTCTCCCACAAAAATAAGATCACATTATGTATGTAATGCTGTGCAATTTGCTTTTCTAACTTCACAGGGGTCTTAGCGATCTCTTCATGTCGGTACATAGAGAATGCATTCTTCTTAACTACTATTCCATCTTAAAAGGTGTACCGTAAATGACTGACCTACTCCTTTACTGGTGAACATTTGGGACGTTTTCAGTTTTTTTCCCATTATAACAATGCTATAATAGTTAAGCTTTTATTTTTATCATTTATCAGGCAGGCACCATTTCTAGTGCATATTTCATTTAACTCTCAAAACACCTGTGAGGTAGCTAGTATTTTTATCCCTATCTTACAGCTAAGAAATCTGAGATGCAGAGTAACAAACTGAATGAAATGTCCAGGCTGGAGCTGGGATTGAAACCCCAGCCCTTTGACCCCTAGCTCCATGTGACCTCTGTGCTCAGCCTTCCAAACATGCTGTAACCCTAACCTGTGTGCTAGCCAGTGTTTCTGGAGGACAGCGTCCTCGCCAGGGGGTAGTGAGGTTATATATATTGCATTTCAGATTTTCATAATTGCCACTAAATTGCACATCAGAAAGAGTATACCAGTTTTCACTGCTACCTCAAGAGTACTCATTCTGCACATCCTTGCCAACATCAGATGTTATCAGTTTTTAATCTTTACTAACCTGTTAGGAGAAAAATGGTGGCTCATTGTATTTAAAAAAAAACCCCAACTCTGTTGAGGTATAATTGACATTAATGTAGTGCACATATTTAAAGTGCACAGTTGGATCAATTCTGACATATGTATCCACCTGTGAGACCACCACCACAGTCAAGAGAGTGAACATTGTCATCATCCCCCATATTTCCTGCAAATCCTTTGTAATCCCTCCCTCCCAACCTTAGTCCCCAGGTAACCACTGCCTTCCTTCCTGTCACTGATATGAGTTTGCATTCTAGAACTTTATATAAAGGGGATCATACAGGATGTACTCTTGTTACCTGGCTTCTTTCACTCACCATCATTATTCTGGGATTCTTTCAAACTGTTGGGTGTGTGCATAGTTGGTTTCTGGTTTTTGTTGAGGAGGATCGCCTTGTGGTTGTGGATAGATCACATTTTGTTTATTCATTCAGCTGCTGACGGACATTTGGGTTGTTTCTGGTTTGGGGCTATTACAGATTGTACTTTTGTGCTTGATTATAGTCTCCGATTAGCTTTCAGACCCATTGTCTCATTGATCTCGGTGAGGGGTAGGGAGTATGGCACTATTTTCTGCATTTGACAGGTAAGGAAACTGGAGCCCAGAGACTTATTACCTCAGGTCTCACAGCAAGCTCAGGTCAGAACTCAGGATTCCTAATCTGAGACCACCCCACCCTCCTGTTCCTCCAGTTGAGGCAGCACAGTGGAGGAAAGGCAATTTTTGTGCAGTGATTAAGAGCACAGATTGTGGACTCTGACTCTCTGGGTTCAAATCCCAGCTGTCTAGGGGACAGAGAGCTGCTTAGTTAACCTCTCTACCTGGCTTTCTTCATCTGTAAATCAGGGATGGTAACAGATGCCTCCCCTGTGGGGTGATTTTGAGGATCAGACGAACGAGCACTTGTCAGGCCTCAGTGTCTTCAAGGTAGGAGGTATTAAGTAAGGGTTGTCTATTGTTATTATTCGTTTATGAAACAGTTATTGAGACCTACTGCGTTTCCTCTCACTGGGGCTGCATAACCCTTCACCCTCCATGGTCTGTTGCTACTGCAGAGAGACTCCTAGGGAGGTGGGGGGCAACTCCGGCTTGGTCCCCATGGAGAGCAGGGAGGCTAAGCCCCGCTGCTCAGGGGCTGGGGAAGGGCACCCCCCACCGTTCGTTTCAGGCCAGCTCTGGGTGACCCCCGCCAGCCCAAGCCTGCCAAGGCCTGCTCTTATCAGAACCAAAGGGCTCTGCCTGCAAAACACGAGCTCCCCCTCCACCCATCCGAGGCTTTGCTGGGATGATGGGGTTGTAATTACCCGTGCCAGGAGCTATTATTAGAAGGCAAATGCAGCTTTAATTATTGTACTTAATAGAGGCTAAAAAACGGGAGGACCAGGTTGCTGCAGAACTCATGGGCTGTGGCAGTTTTGTCTTGGCACGGCCACTTCCCCCAGCCCTCACGTTCCAGAGGTGTCCTGAGGCGGTGTTGGCATCCTGGTGCCCAGCAACTCCCAGTTACTCAGGGGTGAGTTCCCAGGTGTTTGGGGATCCTCCCCCGGCTTCTCCTTCCTCAGTGCTGTCTCTGACCCCCTGGGTACTGCCCGACTATCCCCCCGGCAGGCCGAGCCAGGCTGGGTCAGGGAAGAGAGTTGCTGCCAAACCATGGAACCTGGGTTCTCCAGGGGGCTCTTGTGAGAGGCTGGAGGGCGGGAAGGCCTCTGTGGAGAAATGTTTAATACATATCTGGAAACTAATATTTTCCGGGGCACCAGACAAAATGATAGGTGCTTCCCTGTGACCCTGTTTATGATATTATGATTCCTACTTTACAGGTGAGGAAACTGAGCTCAGAGAGGTTAAGTAACATACCTGAGGTTACATCAAAGAGCTAGGTGTACCTGCCTCTAAATATTCCCATTTTCTCTCCAGTATTCCAGTATACTGTGGCTTCCAAGTTTTGTTTTCGGGTTTTTTTTTTTTTTGGTTTTTTTGTTTTTGTTTTTGTTTTTTGGTAGCCGTGCCCCTGGGGTTGAAAGGGGCCACAGCTGCCAGCTCAGGCCCTGCCTCATGCTCTGTGGTGGCTTCTGAGGCAGCTGCACCCTTTCTGAAGGACCCAGAACAGGGGCCAGAAGGCCTCTTGGGAAACCTGGAGAACCCTGGAGGCCTTAGTGGGGTCTCAGTGAAAACCCCAAGACTTCTTTCCTGATTCCACCCAGTTGGCTGATCCTGCAGGGTCTGGACGGGAACCAGGGAGTGGCTCTGATGGCAGGCCCGCCTCTGCTCCCCGTGGCCTCTGGGTGCTGCGTCTCCTTTCCTGGTTGCCCTTCTCTTGTCTAGTGTGGGCCTTCGCTCCCTGCAGAGCAGCAGCAACGGGGAGAAGTATTTTGTAGAAACAGAGGATGAAGGCCGGCCTTACTTAATGTTCGTTTGCCAGCCACAGCCAGGAGCCAGGGCCTGTTGTGAGGTGGCGGGGCGGGCGGGCCACCCACAGGCAAAGCCAGGCCACTTTCCCATCCTTTGCAGTGAGGGTGGGAGGAGGGTGGGGAGGGAAAGGCCGCTCAGCCTCCCCCTGGGCAGCTGGGTCTGAGCGAGGCCCCCTGGCTCTGGAGACTGCTGGAAACGGCTGAGGGCTCGGCGGTGGGCTTGCTGCGTGGCAGTTAGAACTGCCCAGGCCCCAGACCACAGAGGAGCAATCAGTCAGTGCAGGCCTCCCGGGCCCCCTCCGCCCTCGAGACCTGCCCCTCCACACTGATAAGTGGCTCTTTTGAAATGGAAAAAAAAAAGCTGTAATTACAAGTCTAAGCTGCTTCTCTCTGACAGGGTCTCCTGTGTGCTTAGCTCTGTCTCTTGGGAGGCGGGAGGAGGCAAGTGAAGGGAGGCCCAGACTCGTGGTCACAGGCACGCAGCGCCTCGGTGGAGACCCAGCCTGCCCCCCTCTCTGCAGGAAGCTGCTGTTGGCCTGGTGTGCGGCCCCCAGCCCCTCTCTCCCTTCCACTGGGCGGCCAGCTCTCCCACATCCCCCACCCCCAGCAGAACTAACCAAATGGACCTCAGCAGAGCCCGGCTGAAGTGTGTCAGCTCACACAGGGGGTAGCCCCATTCTGAAAGCGGGGTCCGGGCATCCCTCATGGCCAGCCCCTCTCCTTTACTTCTGCAGGGAGTCTGGGCTTCATAGCCCTTATTACACCCTGCTCTTTAGCTGGGGCTTCACAATCGGGTGCCTGGGAAACTGAGGCCCAGGAGGGGCTCCGCTGACTCTCCCCGGGCTCCACTGATTCTTAGTGTCTGGTCTGACCCTTCTCGGTCCTGGGCTCTTTCCACTCTGCTGACTGTCTTCCAGAGGAGACCGTGACCCCCAGAACACCTTGGTGGAGGCTGGCCTTCAGAGATGAGTCCCCGGGGCTGCGACAGTGTTACTTCCCTGGCTGTTGGGCCACTATTTCCTTTCCTTACAATCAAAAGGCCTCCCAGAATCCTGGGACTTTTATTTAACAAATCATAAATAAAATGCTATTAATTGGTGGTTCCGATGTAAAGACTGGAGAAAGATGGGGAAATATTTATGACAGACCATCACACAAAAGAGGGAGGAGACAGAAATACACTTAGGGAATGATTAAAACTGCCCCCTCCCCGCCCAGAAAGGCTCTCTCTGTAAATAGTATGGAAGGAAATATTTTGATTGGAATGAATCTGGGTGAATTTTCTTCACTTTTGTTTTTAGAATTTTCTTTAATGGACATAATTCTAGAATAAATAAACAAAAATGAGTGCATCCTTCCAGAGTCCTGGCCACAACAGCTGCAGGGACGGGTACAGTGTGGAGAAACGAAATCCACCCAGTGAAATGTAAGAAAGCTCCTTCCTCCTCCTTTCCCTGGAAGCAGGCTGGTCATAGTAGAGCCTGGACCTACTTCCCGAAGTGGGCTGCAGGGCGTATAATTGCTGAGCATGCCGTCTCGCTTCAGGGGGGACACCCCTCACGCTCACAGCCGCCTGTGATGGAAGCTGATGCTGTCTTCTCTGCCCTGTTTTGCAAATGGGGAAACTGAGGCCCAGAGAAGCTGGGTAACCAGCCAAAGTCAACAGCAAACGAGGGCTGGAGGGCATGGCTCCTCTGTCTACCAGACTGCTGTCTGGACCCCAGGGACCTCCCTCCACCTTCCTAACTGCCTCCCTGTCCACCCCCCATCCTGCTGCAGGGGTGGAGTTCGTGGTGCCCAGGACCGGCTTCTACTGCAAGCTGTGTGGGCTGTTCTATACGAGCGAGGAGATGGCGAAGATGAGCCACTGTCGCAGTGCCGTCCACTACAGGAACTTACAGGTAGCCATCGGCCTTCACTGCCTAGGCTCAGGGGGCTGCCCAGGCTCTGTTTCTATGTGTTTCATCTCCTTCCACTGCATGGAAAACTCCTGCTGTTCTCTCCGACCTGACTCCAACAGGCTGCTCCTCGTGGTGGCTGCCTCCCATGTGCTCTCAGAGCATCCGTCTCCACCTTCGTACAAAACATTCTATTTGGGTTACGTTTACTTTGTTTTTGCATCTGCCTGTCCATCTAGACTGAGTGACTCAAGCCAGTATTCACCTGGCCCGTGCCTGGGGCTGACCCCTTTTCACAAGATCTGGATGTTCCAGATATTTCTCTATATGTCTCTTTCCCTGTGCAGTATCCATGTTTGCTAGAAGAAAAACCCCTATTCTGTTCTATGTAAATGTTCGTCCATACTGCAACTATTCATCACAGGCACACCGTGGATTAGACAGTATTCTAGGCACTGGAGATACAACAAAAAAAGAGACAAAAATTCCTTTCCTCTTAGAGCTTTCATTGTAGCATAGGAGATAAGTAATAAAATAAGTATGTTTCATAGTATATTAACAGGTGACGTATAAAAATACTTTGTATACCGTATTTCATCCAATCTGAGGTGCCATTAATTGTAAGGCACACCACTATTTTGTGATACCAAAAGGGAAAAAAATGTTGCAAATTAAATGGTGAATTAAATCAACTGTAAAATGCATCTCAATTTCAGAGATGTTAATGTGTGGAAAAAACACTTTTTAAAATCAATGAGATATAGTAATATATTCTATAACATGTACCTAACTAGAATATAGTGTGTTGGAATGTGATTTTCCTAATTAACTTCTGGTATAAGCTGGGGACTCGTGATGTAATAGAAAGCATGGGAGGCAGACCCCCTGGGGTGAGTCTATCAAGGCACCTCCTGTTTTTTCTATGGTGAATCAGACTAGTTTTTTGAGGCACAAGGCCTTGACTCTGGAAGACCCTTGTGGTAGAGCGTGCCCTAACTCCAGAGCAGGCATTACTGTCAGTTAAATTGTTAAAGAACAGATGCTCTGGTGGTTCTTAACCAGCAATGTGAACCAGAATCCTCTAGACAGTGTTTTAAAAGTGTATGTACTACTTAGGTCAGATATTTAGTAGAATTTAGCGGGGGAGGGACCTAGGAATATGTGATTTGGGGAAGTTCTCCACATGACTTGAATGTGTACCCCTAGTTAAGAAAATTCATATATGGGCCAACTCTCTTGTTTTATAATTGAAGAAACTGAGGCCCAGAGAAGCCATGTGATTTGTCCAAGGCCATGCACATGCTAAGTTACCTGGCCAGGGACCAGGTTGCCTGATTCTTAATCACTTTTCTGTTTTCACTCTCCTGAGCTGGACTTGCATACTGAGACCCATGCCCTGGCCTGCATTACCATCTGCAAGGGACTACCATTGGCTGTGCGCAAACTCAGGTCATTTAAGCCTTTTGATTTCCCTCTGGAAAGCAGCTGCTCTGTGACTGAGACAGCCACGGGGGAGTCTGGGGCCCAGGTCACAGGCGCTCCTGGGAGAGGGCAGTGAAGGCCCGACTTGGCCAGACCAAGGAAGGGTTCAGGTTGTGCTCCGCAGAGCCAGCTGAGGGTAGCCATCTGTCCTGAAGACACCATCGTCCTCTACCTCCAACAAGATGAAACCTCTAGAATGGCAGGGCTGGAAGGAGTCTTAGAGATAATCATCTTGTCCTGATTTTCCCAAACCTTGGTCTTCATACCAGCTGGAATCTTTTAAAAATGTAGCTTCCTGGACCTACCCTATACTTGCTGTCCATTCTCTCTAGGGCAGGGCCTGAGAATCTGCATTTTAAGTCTTTGTAGCAGATTCTGACACCTTAGCATGAGAAACTTTGATCTCATCCGGCATTCTCAGCTGGATCGTGTAGCCCCCAAGGAGGCCACACAGCTCAAGGTCACCCAGGAAGGTAGGAAGAGTGCAGACTTGCCAGGGCCTTTCATTCTAAACTCTGTGTTTTTGCAGGGCAGTGGACTGCACCGTGTTCCCAGCCTCTGGGCCGAACCCCCAGGAAGGCTCACCTCCCCACAGCAGGCCAGGGCCATTCCTGTGGGCCCAGGCACGTCAGGTCCAGACACTGGCTAAGCCCCTCACACCCGCCAGCCTCAGTTCAGGTTTCCCTGGGGCACCTGTTGGGGAGCTGGGAGCCTCACGGCGAGCCTCCCAGATAGGGTTTCTGCCAGTGGCTTTGACAGAATGTCTCTGTCCACACAGACGTGCCCACCCCACTCCACGTTACACATGTGAAAAGGGAAGAATTCAGACCCAAGTAACAGGAGCTGGCTGACACCCAAGTCAGGCCACTTGTAAACTTAACACCCCCAGGAGGCCTTGAGGTGGGGGTTGGAATTGTTCTTTGAGGCAGGGTAGAAGGAAGCTTCGTTCTCTCTCTGCAACCCCAGCTGTGCCCCACTGATGGTCATGTTCCAAGAGAACCCACCAGAGTGATCCAGAACAGCAGGTGGGGCCGGTGCTAGGTGGGAAAGTAGACGTCTGCTTGGCCCCCGGCCCAGGGAGGATCAGGCCTATACACAGTGTTCACGCACTCGCCTTCCTGAGCACGTTTCCTTCCCTGAGACAAGGTGGAGGAGAGACCTGCCCTCCATTAGCAGCCTGGCCCGCAGGGATTCACAGTCTGCCCCTCGCCCCAGCGGGCTCACCCACCTCTCAAAGCCAGCCACAGTCTCTCCTAGAGAGAGCAGGTGGACCACGTCATCTCATACCATTGTCTTGTCTGACCCTCAAAATCACCCCAGAGGAGGAAGAAGGAAGACACGGTTTCTCCCATTTAACAGTTTACAGGCTGGAGAAGGAGTGACTTTCCCAAAAGCCAATGGGCTGGTGCCACTGATGATAAGGGGCAACTCTGCTGGGTGTTTATTCCGTGCCAGGCTCCAGGCTCCGTGCTCAATGCTTTATTTATAGTACCTCTCTTGGACTTCATGGCAACCTTACACAGTAGTTACCATTATTACCTTACTATACAGATGTCGGACTTGGTGGGGAATTTGTCTGCTGAGAGCTAGCATTTGAACCCAAGTTGTCTGATGGCAGAGCCCACACACTTGACCACTGCGGGGGACTTAACCTTGATGACTCCTAGTCCAGTGCTCTTTGCACTGCTCCTTGCAGCCCTAGCAATCAGAGGACAGAGCCTGAGGGCTTTTCTAGTTCCATCTTACCGCACTGAATCCAGAATTCCAGGAGCAGCCCTACAGACTTACTGAGTTGGGCTGGGGGCCAGTGGGAGCAGGAAGTGCTCTGGGGCCGGGTGGAGGAACGCCTCCCCCCTACTATGGGACCTCCAGGACACTCAGCCGGCCAGCCTGCCTGAGTCTCCAATGTCAGGCTGCAGTTTTGTCTTTCACAATCGCTATAGGACAGAGCTGCTCCCCTCCCCGCCCATCCAGTCTCCTCTCCTCCCCCTGCCTCTTACATGTGGATGTGGACGTGCTGCCTGGATACTGGGGCTCTTTCTGGAAAACAAGTAGAGTTGCTGTGAGGATTAAATTAGTTTGTGTAAGGAAAGCAGTTAGAACAGGGCTTGGCACAGGATGAGAGCTCTGGAAGTGTTCGCTATTGTTTGGATCCATGCTTTCATGCATTGTTTGTAAATGGACAGAATGGGGTGGGGGGGGCTGGAGCTCATTGCTCAGCTTGAGTCCAGGAGCCTCAGAAGGATCTGGGGAGGGAGAAGAGGGGGTCTCAGCCACCGGTCCAGGCACGCACCCCCTTCCCCTCCCGCCAGCTCACCACTGACCCTCTCCCTCCCTTTGTCCCTCTTCCCACCACAGAAGTACTTGTCCCAGCTGGCCGAGGAGGGCCTGAAGGAGACCGAGGGAGCAGGCAGCCCGAGGCCCGAGGACAGCGGAATCGTGCCGCACTTTGAAAGGAAAAAGCTCTGACACCTCTGCCGCTGCTGGAAGCAGGGAGACGAGGGCCTGCCGAGGTGGGGCCTTCCTGACCTCCCGGACAGGAACCAACGCCAGAGAGGAAGGAAGACCAGGCAGGCCACTTGCCTGGTTTTCTCAGACACTCGTGAAGCGCTGCCTCTGGAGCTGGAGCGCTCCAGCGCCAGCACCCTGGTGTGTCCAGTTTGCTGAGGGTCACCTGCTCTCCCCCTGTTGACTCCTGTTTCCTTCAGACAGCCTTTCAATTCCTTTCTCTCTCTTCCTCCCTCTCCCCTCTCCCTCCTTCTGTGCCCAGGGTCATTTCATTTTCATAAAAATCCAACTTCTCAGGGATTTTCACAGTGTTCAAATTCTTGATGGGATAGGACAGGCCATGCCAGGCTGAGTCTTCCAAGGAAAAGATTTCATGGAGACTCCTGGGTCCAGAACCACATCAGTGAGCCCAGAGCACCAAGACAGTTTCTCTGCCTGGCTTCTTGTGCGGGAAGGTGGGTGGGGCGAGCAGGGTGCCTACAGCCCTGGAGGGGAGCACCCTAGACAGTCAGTGAGCAGAGGCTGGGATTTCCTCCAGCTGGACCACCTTTTTGAAAAGCCCTGATTGTCATACCTCTTTCATCCTCTCAGATTCATGCCTTAAAGTTTAATGAATTTTACAGAGAGAAGAGCCCTTCATTTTGGAATCTCTGATGTTTCCCTCCTCTTGATTGCAGGAGGTGCCAGGGTTTGTTCTACTCTGGACATTAAATTGGTCTCAATTCACTTTAACTAAAAATGAAAACAGAAGCATCTTCCCCCTCCAGCTAAAACAGCAGTCCGGTCAGGGCTTAGGCCGAATGTTGGCTGCACGTGGTTGGCTTGAGAGACCCCAAAACAAGGAAACGGTATCTGTCCTTGACTCACCCTTGGTGTCTGCACTCTGGGCTCCAGCAGCCCCACAGTGGATGCTTTCAAATGGTCTGAGGCCAGAGAAGCTAAGGAGAAGGCTGCAGGACTGAGGAGCACCTCAGGATTGCCGGGAGTTTGTAGGTGGGCCCTTTTCAATTTGGCAGAAGGTCAGGGTAGCTCAGAGCTGACCCCAGGTGCAGACATTGATGTCAAATGTTAGGAAGCACAGAGCACTTATTCCGGTCGGGCTGTGCGATCCTGAGGTCAGGGCCTCGGGCCCCGGAAGTCCATTGGAAGAGTTTGGGAGAAGGTGCTGGGGAAATGAGGCTCAGCTGCAGCCCTGGAGGAGCCCTGGAGAAGGTCGGAGGGGAGCCTGGTGCTGCTTCCTCAAGCTGAGACACCTGCCTGGAGGTGGCCTCCCTGGCTCAGCCCCTGGAAGACGGTTCCTGTTATTTCTGTTCCTGGCCACAGGAAGGTAGATTCGGACGGGATTGTTTATTTTACTTAAGTTCTTTGCTTTTTTTCTTTTTATGGTAAATAAGACTACACTGCTCATTTTGTTCTCCACACTCATGGCAGAAGTATAGAGAGATTGTCTGAGTTCGACACTGACATTTTATCAGTGAGGAAACTGAGGCATAGCAAAGAAAGATAGAACAGAAAATGATCAGGTGTTAAGCCTTGGGGCAAGTGGTCACCGGCAAGGAGAGAACTGCCGGGAACCTGTGAGAGAGAAGCGAGAAGCACCAGAGGCAGGCAGACCAGCTTGGACAGGTGTGGGGCGGAGAGGCTGGAGGTAGCGGGAAGCCTGAACTTGGCATCAGGCCAGAGGGGGAGCCTCAGGAGGGTTAGTGTCTCAAAGAGAGCAGACGTTGAAAAGGGTGACTCAGCCCAGACCTGATCCCCTGGCCCTCTCCTTCGGTTTTTTCACCTGGTGTTCTGAAAACCAGCCTCCTCCATTTCTCGGAAAACCTTTAACCCTCTGTGTCTCTCCTCCCATGAGAGGGAAGTCAAGGGCCAGCTCTATGGCCTCTTCACTGAATCTTGCTGGGAAAAGCCTGCTGCCTCCATTAGAGGCTAAAACTGCATTTTCAGAGAGGCTGGCAGTCTTTTTCTCCCAGCAAAGTGGAACCTGACCCCACCAGCTTGTCCCCACTCAACAGTGTTTCCATGGAAACCAAGGATGGCTGTTCAAACAACAGTATTTCCTAGTAATGTAATGGCTCCGTTGCTGATGGATTGATCTTCTCCATATTTTAAAGCTGGAGAAGGGCCCTGGGAAGGAGAGAGAAGAGGCTCTTTGCGTTCAATCAGAACCTTCAGTTTAAAAACTCATCTAAGATCCCATATTTGTGTGTATATATATATATTTATTTTTATTTATTTTTATACAATTCCATTGGCATAATTTCATCCACTCCATAATTTGCACTTCTTCTTCCTACGTGTGTCATACACAATGCAATATTAAAAGCAACCAGGAAAATATTGATTTATTTTTTAAAGCTTTTCTTCAGTGTTTGTTAACCATTTCAAAGTGTCTCCCCAAAAATGTTGTTTAAGAGCAGCTGCTACCTTGAGCAACAGATTGATTTGTACCCTGGGTTAACGTAACAAAAGGCCTGGGTCATGTTCTTTTTATTGTAAACACCTGAAATAAAGTGTATCCAGAGAGTATTTCCAAAGAATTTGGTAAATTTGATGTTGGTGTGCGCAGCCGCCATTAGTGTCAGGGTTTCCCTTGACAGTCTGAGGCTGTGACCTGTTAGATTATACTTGAACTGGACCACAGTTTGATTTTTGAGCTTATGAGAAAAAGAAGAACATTAGTTCCTATAAGTTTGAACTTGTAAAGTATTGGAATTTGTCGAGTGTCCTATAAATTGCCACTTTTCCTGATCTGTATAACTGGCCGCAAGTGTTTGTTTTTACAAAAGGGGGGGAAGATTTTTAATAAAGACAATTTGAGAGCCTGTGCACGAGTAGCCATCTGTCACGCAGGGATCCCGCGACGTTGGGCTGGGGGATGTCCCCAAGCACAGACGTTGGGGTTTGGTTCCCTCTCTGAATCTAGAATGTTTCTAAAGAATTGAGAAGAGAGGACACGAGCTTCCACTCAGGCCTTTAGGGGGATCAGAGCTTCTCAGGGGTGACCCTCCAGAAGAGCTGGGCCCAGGAAAGTGGGGGGCCACTGCTCCTCTTGAAGGGTCAGATAGAAAAATCTCTTGGCCTTTTTAAACCCCTAGCCCACCCACCCAGTGCTCCCGGGGCTTCTGGTAGCTGAACCCTGTTGTCCTGCCCCAGGGTCAGGCTGGTTCTGGTGGTTGCACCCCTTGTAAGGTGGTCAGTGCGTCGCTTGGTCACTTGTTAGCCCTGTGACTTCCGAAGTCCTGCTTCCTTGGGCGCAGAGTGGGTGATGCTATTGGCCTCCTCGGTTGTTCCAGGGGGAATTGCTGGTGAAAGTACTTGCTATGCTGCTCAGCTCTGAACCTTTTTTTGGTGTTTTTGGAATCTGTGCTCAGGCCAAAGACCCTCCAATTTTCAGTGGTTCTTAAATTCTTTCTCAACCGTTTCTTCTGGTAAAACAATGCCAGTCTCCTGGGACCAGTTGGCAAGTCCTTTGACTGGCCTGGAACCTGCTCTGGGCCGTCCCCGCCTGTTGGCAATGCTCCTGAGTCAACCGAGAGGGGCTGGGCAGTCTGGCCCCAGAGGGCAAAGTGAGTGGGGCTGCCTGTAATTAGTGGGAGCAGATTTGTAGATCTGAGGAAAGTTCCCGTCAAGCCTGTTGCCGCTCCCCTCACCGCACCCCACCCCCGCCTATTGTGGCCATCAAGGGCTGAGCTCAGGCCTCCAGTTGCCAACCAGGAGGGGTGGAGAAACATCCTTCCCTGCCAGTATGGGCTGCGCCCTAGCTGGCCAAAGCAGGGAGTGGGCCTAGAGCGTGTCCTGCTGCCCTGAGTTCAGGATCCAGGATGGCTGGGGGTGGCCCTAAGTGCCTAGTCCCAGCATGTCCTGCCATGTGGCACAACTCCAGGAGTCACCATGCAAATTGTATTCTGTAAGATGGAACCCCTGAAACTGTGCAGTGGAGGCATCCTACTGGGGCCCCCTGACTTGCAGTCCCCTGCCATGCCTGGGGACTCCCATTTCTCTCTGATGTTCCTAAGAGCCCTAGAACCTGGTTCTGAGCCAGTCCACCGGCCAGAGCCCTGACACTCAGACCCACTCTCTAGGCTCCTTCCTCTCCCCGGGGGTCAGTGCCAGATTGCCCCGGCCTGACTCTGCCATGGCTTAGACACTCGTGTTGCTCCTCACAGTCCCCCTCAGGTGGGGCCACTTAGATACCGACCTTGGCCCCACCTGGCCTGAGATCTCTGTGCCCTTCTGAACATCAGTAGCAACTGTTGGCTGTCCACCTGGGTGGTGATGGGACATCTGGGCTCTCCCCCAACAGCTCCCCATCCTCCTTCCCAGCCCTTCCTGTCCTACAAAGAGGCCTATCCCAAGTGGCTTTCCAAGCATATTAGAGCAAGATGGGCCCCCAAACTCCCAAATCCTGGCTCCTCTTTTACAGATGAGAAAACGGAGGCCCAGAGAGAGGAAGTGACTTGCCTAAGGCAACACACCTTATTGGCATAAGATAAGAACAGGTTCCAGGTCTCCTGGGTGGTCCTACTGAGAACACATGGGGAGTTTAGATTCTTTCAGTTAAATTATTCCATGAATTTTCCAGGTCTAGCCCAAGCTGGACTTCAGCAATCAGCAAAGACACAAGACAAATCATTGGTTTTTGTGCTTTGTGTGGATCCGAGTGACCTGGGGAGCTTGTCAGAACTTGAGATTCCCAGCCCCCTCCGTGGAGATCGTGTCTCAGTAGGTCACGGGAGGCATTTGCATTTTAGCAAACCTCGTGAGTGACTCAGTGCAGGTGGAGTTCACTGCTCACAGTTTGAAAAATGCTGCTGTAGATGTCAAATCAACCAGGGACTTCCCCAGCAGCTCCTGGAATAGAAGCGACATTTATTTTTACTGGGGGGAAGGGCAGGACAGATGTGAATAGAGACTATTCAAGGTGGGGGAGACTCCAGTGTGGAAAAGGCTTAAAGACAGGAGACAGTCTGGCCGTGGCACATGGAGATGGGGGAGCTGGTAGGGGAGTGGTCATCAGACTGGGTTTGGGACACATGTCAGGATTTTTTAGTTGAATTCAGATTTACGGTGCTTAGGCAAAAGTCTTCCAATGGTCTCTTTATGCTCATTAATGGCTGAATGCGTTGTGATTACTAAGCAGACTCCTGCAGATCCAGTGGTGGGCTGGTCCCTCGGGGCAGAACGCTGTGCAGTCAGCAGGTCTTCTGGGGGGACTGGAGTCACAGGGAAAGGGCATTCCCCAGGGGCATGTCACTGCCAGCAGGGAACCATGGGGTTCACACATATTCTCTCTCCTGCTCTCCATGAGCCACCATGAATACCAGGATTAGCCCTGCAGATTATTAAACCCATCTGCACACCACACTCAGTGTGCACTCTATGGGGACAGTCTCTTGGCCTCTTTACACCCTGAGAGACAGGCACTGTTATTCTCCTATTTCATAGTTGGGGAAAACGGGGCTCAGAGACGCAAAGTGGTTTGCCCAGGATGAGACGGGCCAGTAAGTGGCATAGTTGGGATTCAAACCCAGGTCCATGTGACACTCAAACCACACTTATAACAACTGTGCTCTACTGTCTGTCTCAGGGCTGGGGTCTTCCTGCTTCTTCCTAAAACCTCTAGACCCTGGGTCTGCCAGGAACAGCTGGCTCGGGAGGATTGGAGAGCCTAATTTAGCCAGACTCAGGTGCTTTTGACTGACTCTCCTGATTGTTAAGTTCCTGAAAGGGATCTCAACATTTCCCCTCCTTAGAATACAGCTGGAGAAAGGCCTTCTCATTCTCCTTCTCCTTCTCCTCACTCAGGAGCAGTTCACCAGGGGAGCTGGATCTAGTGGGTGAGAGGATGGTGGGGGCCAGGGGTTGAGGGGCTGCTTCTGCTTCCAGGAGGGGGAGGGCAACACCCTGTTTTCTGTTCTTGGGGAATTTCGAGGTGTAAGGACGTGATCAAAAGGAGCTTTCCCACGGCCTCAAAATGCCGGCCAGACGTTGCACTTTTAACGCCTCCTTCCAGAGTGAAACCTCATCGTTTTATCTACCTGCTGCTGCTTAACAACAAGTTGAGATAATGCAATACAGGACATGTTTGACCAGATTAAGGCAACAGACAAATTTTAAGTGAGGGGTGAGGAAGGCTGGAGGCAGCAAGTCTGTGAGCAGTAAGGGCTGATACAGTGGTGGTGAGTAAGAATGAGATATGACCAGGAGCCTCCTGGTAGCCAAGGCAAAAATAGGAAGCTTGTTGTGTTACTTGGCTCTCCTTGTTAGGAGAGAGAGCATTCAAGTATATCTGGGGAAGTCGTTCTACTTGACTCCATATTTTAGAAGAGTTATCCTGTGGTATGAGCAGGGGCACTGAGAGACTTGGAGAAAACCCTTGGGTAGCTGACAGCCCAATATTGGAGAGGAACATAGCGGAGACCCCTGTGGAGAGGACGTTAGGGTGTTTCCTGGTCTGTGTGAAAGTGGTTCCTGATGTCAGGGTGACACTACCAGCGTCCAAAGGCCCAGTCTTTGTTCGTGCCTGCCTAGCCCACCTGAGCTGGTGTACTGGCTTGAGTTGGTGGGGTTTTGGTTAGTTTTTTTTAAACTTTTAAAATTGTCTCTGGTTATTTGGCTGAGCTTCCAGGAGCCATGTCCATAAAGATAAGGAGGCTGCTGTCAGCACTATCACCTGACTGCTTGGCATACCCACCTGAGAATAGAGCACTCTGGGTGGGGGCCCTGCTAATCTGGGTTCTAGGAAAATCTCGAGGGCATTTACTCTTTGGGGTTCCCCCACGGGCCAACCGCAGCCAGGAGGGATCCCAGCCAGATGGGGCAGCACTGTCTCCCTCAGGCTGAGCCGGGAAAGCACCTCGAACCTGTCTGATAAGGACCAGCCCTGGGGAGGAGGGGAGCAGAGGACCCGCCCTTGAGATCTCTTACCCTCGCCCGCAGTCTGCCAGGCCAGGAGAGACAGAAATTTCTTGTTTAGGGGCAGGTCCTTGTGCTGGGCCTCACAACCCCTGAGTCCCTGTGTCAAACCCACAATGAACTCACTCAAGCTTGGGCAAATGTCCACCTCCTCCACTTCGTTTCTCCCTCTGTGCTTGAGCTGTCCTTGTGCTTGCCGGAGGCCGTTGGAGGAAAGCGGGACGTGAGCCGGGACTCTAGGTCAGTCACAGTCGGGGGTGGTGGCTTCTGTCCCCGCACTTCCCACAGCCCCAGTGCTCATGCCTCAGGCCTGCAGGGCAGTCTGGTCCTGTTTCCACCCTCCCACCCTGGCTGGGGCCCGTCTGTGGAGGACAAGCCCTACTCAGGAGCAAACATGGGTACGTCCGTGGAGCAGGCTTACTCATGTGCCATCCTGGCCTCTATGGTCCCACTTCTGGTGTGGGTGCCTTAACTTGGCATCAGCTGCACCTTCTCAACGCCGGCCTCTTCTCCACCCACCTCAGCACCCCCACGGCCTCCACTTGTGGTCGGGCCACGTGTTGATCCCCAAAGAGGCCCCTTCTCTGCGCCTAGGTTTTGCCCATGGTCTTCCCACTGCCTGGGACGCCCTTCTCTTTTCTACTTGGAAACTATCACTTTTTTTTTTTAAACATTCGTTCTAGGTGAGTGTTACCGTCTCTATGAAGCCTTCTTTGACCCTCTTTGTTCTCCCCCCAGAGGTGTGCTACTGCTCCCACGCTGCTCCCAGGACACAGTTCCCCAGCCCATACACCCACACAGAGGCCTCTCTTTTATGGCCCTTATCAGGTTGCCTTGTTGTGGTCTGTTTATAGGTGTGTCTCTGCATTAGCCATTGAGTCTACCAAGACGGAGTGTGTCCTGCTGCCC